TAAAATTGCCCGAGGTGCGGTTTTTCTTTGTTAATTTCCAGAGATCTCAGGACTTCACCTCGAGCCCAACTTCTCGAGCCATTTCCAATCGACCTGCAAAATTTCAGCTCATTCCGACACCGTTGCGACAAATGACAAAATTGCCCCAGGTATGATTTTTCTTTGTTAATTTCCTGAGATCTCTGGACTTCACACCGAGTCCAATTTCTCGGGCAGCTTTCAATCAACTTGCCAAATTTCAGCGCATTTTGACACCGTCGCAACAAATGACCTAATTGTCCTTGGTGCGATTTTTCTTTTTTATTTTTTCAAGATCTCGAGACTCCGCCACGAGTCCAATTTCTCGGGCCGTTTCCAATTGTCCTGCCAAATTTCAGCCCATTCCGTCACCGTCGCGACAAATGATAAAATTTCTCGTGGTACGATTTTTCTTTGTTAATTTCTCGAGATCTCGGCACTCAGCCCATTCCGACACCATTATGACAAATGATAAAATTGCCCCAGGTGCGGTTTTTCTTTGTTAATTTCCAGAGATCTTGGGACTTCACCTCGAGCCCAACTTCTCGGGCCGTTTCCAATCGGCCTGCAAAATTTCAGCCTATTCCGACACCGTCGCGACAAATGACAAAATTGCCCCAGGTACGGTTTTTCTTTGTTAATTTCCCAAGATCTCTAGACTTCACACCGAGTCCAATTTCTCGGGCTGCTTTCAATCAACCTGCCAAATTTCAGCGCATTTCGACACCGTTGCGACAAATGACCTAATTGTCCCTGGTGCGATTTTTCTTTTTTATTTTTTCGAGATCTCGGGACTCCGCCACGAGTCCAATTTCTCGGGCCGTTTCCAATCGTCCTGCCAAATTTCAGCCCATTCCGTCACCATCGTGACAAATGATAAAATTTGTCGTGGTGCGGTTTTTCTTTGTTAATTTCCCGAGATCTCGGGACTCCGCCCCTAGTCCAATTTCTCAGGCCGTTTCCAATCAGTTTGCAAAATTTCAGCCCATTACGACATCGTCGCGACAAATGATAAAATTACCCCTGGTGCGGCTTTTCTTTGTTAATTTCCCGAGATCTCAGGACTTCGCCCCGATTCCAATTTCTCGGGTCGTTGGCTACCAAATTTCTACCCATTCTGACACCGTAGCGATAAATTGCCAAATTGTCCCTAGTCCGATTTTTCTTTGTTAATTTTCTGAGATCTTGGGACTCCGCCACGAGTACAATTTCTCGGGTCATTTCCAATTTGCCTGCCAAATTTCAGCCCATTCCGATACCGACGCGAAAAATGACAAAATTGCCCCTTGTGCGGATTTTCTTTGATAATTTCCCGGGATCTCGGGACTCCGCCTCGAGCCCAATTTCTCAAGTCGTTTTCAATCAGCTTGCCACATTTCGGCCCAGTCCGACACCGTCGTGACAAATGGCAGAATTACCCCTAGTGCGGTTTTTCTTTGTTAATTTCTCGAGATCTTGGGACTCCGTCTTGAGCCCAATTTCTCGAGCTGTTTCCAATCAGCCTGCCAAATTTCTGTCCATTCCGACATCGTCGCGTCAAATGACAAAATTACCCCTGGTGCAGTTTTTCTTTGTTAATTTCTCGAGACTCGACCTCGAGCCCATTTTCCCGAGCCTTTTCAAATCAGCCTGCGAAATTTCAGCCAAATCCAACATCGTCGCGACAAATGAGAAAATTACCCCTGGTGCAGTTTTTCTTTGTTAATGTCCCGAGATCTCGAGACTCCGCCCTGAGCCCAATTTCTCAGGCGGCTTCCATTCAGCCTTCCAAATTTCAACCCATTCCGACACCGTCGTGATAAATGACAAAAATGCCCCTTTTGCGGTTTTTCTTCGTTAATTTCTCGAGATCTCGGGACTTCGCCTCGAGTAAAATTTCCTGGGTCGTTCCCAATCATCCTGCAAAATTTCAGCCCATTCCGACACCGTCGCAACAAATGATAAAATTGCCCCAGGTGTAGTTTTTCTTTGTTAATTTCCCGTGATCTCGGGACTTCACCTCGAGCGCAACTTCTCGGGCCGTTTCCAATCGGCCTGCAAAATTTCAGCCCATTCCGACACCGTCGCGACAAATGACAAAATTGCCCCAGGTACGATTTTCTTTGTTAATTTCCCGAGATCTCTGGACTTTTCACCGAGTCCAATTTCTAGGGCCGCTTTCAATCAACCTGCCAAATTTCAATGCATTCCGACACCTTCGCGACAAATGACCTAATTGACCCTAGGGCGATTTTTCTTTTTTACTTTTTCGAGATCTCGGGACTCAGCCACGAGTCCAATTTCTCGGGCCGTTTCCAATCGTCCTGTCAAATTTCAGCCCATTCCATCACCGTCGCGATAAATGATAAAATTTCCGGTGGTGCGGTTTTTCGGGACTCCGTCCCGAGTCCAATTTCTCGGGCCGTTTCCAATCAGTCTGCAAAATTTCAGCCCATTACGACACTGTTACGACAAATGATAAAATTGCCCCTGGTGCAGTTTTTCTTTTTTAATTACCCGAGATCTCAGGACTTCACCCCGATTCCAATTTCTCGGGCCGTTTCCAATCAGCCTGCTAAATTTCAACCCATTCCGACACCGTCACGATAAATTACCAAATTGTCCCTAGTGCGATTTTTCTTTGTTATTTTTCTGAGATCTCGGGACTCCGCCACGAGTCCACTTTCTTAGGTTGTTTCCAATTTGCCTGCCAAATTTCAGCCCATTCAGACACCAACGCGAAAAATGACAAAATTGCCCCTTGTGAGGATTTTCTTTGATAATTTCCCGGGATCTCGGGACTCCGTCTCAAGCCCAATTTCTCAAGCCATTTTCAATCAGCCTGCCACATTTCGGCCCAGTCCAACACCGTCGCGACAAATGACAGAATTACCCCTAGTGCGGTTTTTCTTTGTTAATTTCTCGAGATCTTGGGACTCCGTCCCGAGCCCAATTTCTCGGGCTGTTTCCAATCAGCCTGCCAAATTTCTATCCATTTCGACACCGTCGCGTCAAATGACAAAATTACCCCTGTGCTACAACTTTAAGGTTGCAAACCCAAGTGCAGGTTGTCGCAAGTAGTAAATCTCGGAAGTCCGAGGTCGAACCACAGGGAATTGGAAGGAAATAAACTATTCTATGAGTAATGAACGGTTGATGAAAATACGATGAAGACAAACACTAGAGCATCGGGGATTCACTTCGGATAAATGAGTAGAAATTTCCCTTGATCTTTAATTTAACTCATATGAAAATCAACTAAGGAATGATCTCATATGGAAGATAAAACATTGATCACAAATATATTAAAAGATAGATCTTGATCATTGTTTGAGAGAATATGTCAAAATAAGTTGTTGGAATGTAGAGATTATCTAAGCATTTATTGTGCCAAAATTGTCAACAATAAATCAAAGTCTTTAACAAACCAAAACTATTTGTAGAACATATACTTCAACCAAGTAAGAAGATGAACATTGAAGAACAAAATGAAAGATCAAAGACAACACTAAACATTCATCAAAGTTTCACCCTTAGCTCTAGCTAAATGTTTAGAAATACATAGTGAAATGTTACAAAGAAAATAAAGGAAACTATAATATGATGGAGAGGAATTGATGCTTCAAAATCGTGGCCAAGGTCCCCTTTTATAGGCAAAGGAACATCCAAAATTCAAGTAGGCAATGCAACTTGTTTCTGTCCAGCTTCAAGACAGCTGGAACATGCAACTTGATGCCAATTTTCAGATGCCTTGTGCAGCGAATTTGGACTTATGATCAACATATAAATTATTTCTACTTGAGTTATCTTTCCATTGGTTCAAATATCAGGTTCATTGGATCTATATAACTCCAGATATGACAAAA